CCATTAAAGACAGTAGAAATGTCATTGTTGTGAAGCCAATTAGGAGGAATAAAGGAAGGACTCAGGGCCAGTCTGGTTAATTGGTTGTCATCTTCCTGGCCTCACTAGATTCTCAGCTCCTAAGAATCCTTATTAATGAGCTGAGGAAAAGGTTACCATCTGGACCTACTAATGAAGACTATTCCAGGAATCTGACAGTAATTGAGTGGGGTGCATTTGGGGTTATTCTGCTAAGCAGAAGAGGCCCTTGAGATGGCTAGACCCATGAATTGGTAACTTGAGTCAGAGTTCTCACACTCCGGGTACCTTTGAGATGACAGTAAAGACATCTCCTTGCCATGACACAAGAGCTCCCCCTGTTTGGCCTCCTACCGACTCATTTCCCACCACTTAAGGTTTTCTGCTCTAAGTATAACTGCTATGACTCTTTTGGCATAGCCCAAGGCTGGTTTTTGCCCCCTTATCTGTGCTCACGCTGTCTCCCCTCCCTGTTGTGCTGTGCTAGACATGCCTGTGCTCACACATACACTCACAGTGACATGTCTTTGTCTAGCTGATATCTGCTTAGGCATCTGCTTCTCCAAGAAACCTTCCCTGGTCTCCAGGCTTAGTTAGATACTTTCTCTGTGCCCTGACAATCCCCTGGCTTCTCTCCATTCCAACACTTATTACCCTAAATATTATCAAAGTGTCTATCTTCCACAACAGACTAGGGGCTTCTCAAAGGTAGGGGCTGTGTCTGATTCACCTCACTGTCCCCAGTGCCCAGAACAGGGTCTGCTGTGCTTGTTGAGCTGAGCTTTCATGATCCACACTATCTGTATCCCCTCAACCACACCCTCCATGCTCATTCCCACCTCCTTAATTCAACTATTCATTCCACCAACATTCACTAAGCACCTCCACTTCCAGCTGGTGCAGGGGCTCAGAATGACATAGTCCCTGTTTGGGGAGCTCCTTGTCTACATGGACTTCTGTCATGCAGAAGGAAGCCCAGAGGAGAATGAAGACACTATATGTAAGCCAAGTCCTGAAGAATAAGAAATTAGGTGAAGAGTTTTACTTAATTCTTTTTAATTTAATTTAATATTGACATATTCATTTATTTTTTTATGGTCTTGAACACCTGGCCTTAAGTAATCTTCCTGCCTTGGCACCCCAAAGCACTGGGATTCCAGGCTTGAGCCACTGGCATCTAGCCAATTTTGCTCAGTTCTGTTTTCTTTCTTTTTTGAGAGAGTCTCACTCTGTCACTCAGGCTGGAGAGCAATGGCACAATCTTGGCTCACTGCAACCTCTACCTCCCAGGTTCAAGCAATTCTTCTGCCTCAGCCTCCCTAATAGCTGGGATTACAGGTGTGCGCCACCACACCCAGCTAATTTTTGTAGTTTTAGTAGAGACGGGGTTTTGCCATGTTGGCCAGGCTGGTCTCAAACTTCTGACCTCAAGTGATCGACCAGCCTTGGCCTCCCAAACTGCTGGAATTACAGGCATGAGCCACCGTGCCTGGCCTGAGTTTAAAGACTTTAAAGGCTCACATCCTCACTAATTTCAAGAAGCTTCCTCCTCCTCTCCTTGCCTGCCAGCCTCTCCCTCTCCTGCATCCCTGCATGGCATCTGATTTCCTCTACCTGTGTTAGAATGTTACAGCTTGTTCTGCCACTGTTCCAACTGAGAGTGAGACAAGGAGGCATAAGGGACAGACCCCTGGCCCTTTCTTAGTCTGTTTTCCTGTCTGCCACTTATGAGTGATAACCCTTGCCTTGTCCAACACCACTCACATGGTTGTTTTTGTATTTGTGAACTGTTAATGTGAACTGCAGGTGTGAGAGACTGATGCCTTTATTAGTGTGTCTTTTCCACAACTATATTTGATCTCCCTGTATCTCTAACACTCAACACAAGACATGTCAAGCACAAAGTCAGTGTTCAGTAAAGACCTGGTGGGCCAGGTGTGGTGGCTCATGCCTGTAATCCCAGCACTTTGGGAGGCTGTGGGTAGATCACCTGAGGTTTGGAGTTCCAGACTAGCCTGGCCAAGACTAACTGGAAAGGTGAAACCTGTCTCCACTGAAAATACAAAAATTAGCCGGGCATGGTGGCAGGTGCCTGTAATCCCAGCTACTCGGGAGGCTGAAGCAGGAGAATCGCTTGAACCTGGGAGGCAGAGGTTGCAGTGAGCTTAGATAATGCCACTGCACTCCAGCCTGGGCAACAGAGCAAGACTCCGTCTCTCAAAATAAATAAATAATAAAATAAAATAAAAATACCTGGCTTATTGATTGACTCTAAGTGATGAAGACAAAGAGATTTACTCAAAGGCCCTGGGAGACAATAGAGGTACAAGGAAGCTGGGACTAAGGTGGGCCAGGAACATATAGGAAAGACAGTTGCCATGTATTCACCTGCAAATCACATCACATATTTTGTGGATTTAATTTTTATTACCATCCTATGGGGTAGGTAATATTCACCTCATTCTACAGATGAGGAAACAGAGACTGGGAGCAATTTCCCAAGAACACACAGCTAGTAGCTGCCCTCTTTACAGTGCAGCATGTCTTCCCCTCAGTGCCACTTCCTCACAAGGGATTTGTGCTCCTCACCTTGAACTGTGTCCTCATCTTCATCTGAACTGAAAATCTATTTAGTTATTTACCTGTCTGTCTCTTTTCTAGATAAGCAATACACTCCCTGCACCTCCCCAAACACTGCCATTTGCAATAAGGCAGTCAAACAATGGGGAGTCCATTTTTGTGGTGTTCATTAAGGAAAAACAATATGCTGGAGGATCTCTGAAGCTGAGTTTCTATGGCCTGAGGATAATGAGCCAGCAACTGCCTCTTTCTTCATCACATGTCCACAATTAGCAGGCACTTCTGCTGCTTGTCTTTCTCAGGTCAGGAAATGAGCCACAGGAGAGAGGCTGTCAGATGCAGGTGGGCTGGCAGGAACAGCATGTGCCTTCCAGCTGGGAAGCCTGGGAAAAGAGGGGCCTTTTTTATACCTGGGGGCTTCAGCCCTTCTGTGGAAGGTGGAATAATAGGGGGAAAAAAGGAAGGGAAAGAGATCCCTCCTATGTTAGAGAAGATGATAAAAGAGGGAGAAAGGGGAGGTGGGGAGGGATAGCCTGGGGAGAAATGCCAAATGTGGGTGAAGGGGAGAAAGGAAGCAAAACACACTGCCATGTGTGTACCTATGCAACTGTCTTGCATGTTCTGCACATGTACCCCCAAACCTAAAATGCAATAAAAAATTAAAAAAAAAAAAAAGAGGGAGAAAGAGATGGAGAGGAGGTGGGAGGAACAAGATGAAAGAACGGAAATAAACTGTCTTTATAACAGGTCACTTTTTTACAGCAATGTATTCATCATCTCACTCATTCCTCCCACCTGCTCTTGGTAAGAAGACACTGTTGTTTTTCTTATTTGACAACAAGGAGTCTGAGAATTAGAAAGTTTAAGTGAGCAGAGAGGTGAAGTGATTTGCCCAGACTCAGATACTGTTAGTTGGATTAAAGCAGAGGAGGCCAAAAGACTTGTAAAGGAAGAAAAAGGTGTAATCAGGAAAAAAAAAAAAAAAAAAAAAAAAAAGCAAAGCAAAAGAGAAAAAGGGGAAGAAATGAGAGGCAGAGTTGTGTGTAGACTTTGGAGACAGCCAAACCCAGACCTAAACCCAGTTTCCACTAATACAGCCACATGACTTTGTGTGAGTTATGTAGTCTCTCATACTCTCATTTTAAAAATGGAGGTAATGTTATTTACCCAACACGTTGTTGTGAGGATTAAGGAAGATGATATCAGTAAAGTTCCTAGCATAGTGTCTGGCATATAGTATTTGCCCCAAAGATATTAGAAATCCCAAGGAGAAAGTACAAGGAACACAGGGGAAAGGCTCTGAAAGAAGGGAAAGAAGAAGGCAGGCAGACAAGAGAAGTGGAAAAGAGGGCTAGGGACTGATAAAGAGGGCCACTTTTGCTTCTAAGGGCTGCCACCAAGCTGGCCAAGATTCCTTGGGCGTAAAGCAGCCTTTTTGAATCAGGAGAGCCTATGCTGTGTCTCTTTGGACAACCAAGTTCTGTTCATCACAGAAAGTGTTGCTAAGGATTTCAAGATACAAAATAGACAAGAATGTCGCACACCTTAGATGTAGTTTTCCCTGGGTCTTTTGTTGGGTTTGTGGAGGCAGAGTGAGATCTATTGGATCATTTCAGTGGAATTCAGAGAGGAGGAAACCCACTGAGAGGAAATAAACCAATGTGGCTATGGGTGGAAAGGACAAAGAAGCCTTATTCAGTGTGAATCTCGATGTTCCTCCCAGAGCCCAGACCAGAATTGGCCAGCCTAGGGGAAATGAGAGGCAGGGGAAGGAGGAGGAAAGTCCTTGTGAAAAAGTCCAAAACTAAGGCTTCTCATACTGGTGCCTTTCTTTATCTTGGGCAAGCTAGCTTACTTCTGTAAGCCGGTGTTTGCATTAGTGAAGTGGAGAGGATCTGACTGACACTCTTTCCTCAGGGGCAACCTGAAATCAAATAAAATAATCGATGTGATAAGTGGGTTGGAAACTATGAAGTCCTGTGCACACACATTTATGCATTTGCTCTGTCAGCAAACACTAATGACCTCCTTTGTGTCAGGCACAGGGCTATACATTTTACATACATTGTCTTGCCTAATTCTTGAAATAACTCTATGAGGTAGGTAGAATTATCCTTTTTACAAACCAGGAAATTGATTTGTAAAGAGAATAAATGACTTGGCCCAGAATTAAACAGCTGGGCAGTGGTAGAGCTAGGATCAATCTGACTGTAAGACCAGAACAGGAAACTCCTGCCCTATACCGTCTCCTTGAGGCAGAATCCTCTGCCCATGGAATTGGGCCTCTTTGCTTCACTCCTGAGCACTGGACACATTAATCCAGAGTGCTTGGGCTGAGGGCACAGAAGGGTTCCAGCAGAAGGGATGAGACAAGTCCTTATCTTTACCTCTTCTCTTTCCAGGGTTCGATTTCTTTGAAGCCAGTGCAAAGGAGAACATCAGTGTAAGGCAGGCCTTCGAGCGCCTGGTGGACGCCATTTGCGATAAGATGTCTGATTCAATGGACACAGACCCCTCGATGCTGGGCTCCTCCAAGAACACGCGTCTCTCGGACACCCCGCCACTGCTGCAGCAGAACTGCTCATGCTAGGCAAGGCCCACCTTCCTGACCTCCCATCATTGTGGCCCCACACCCAGTCTGCTTCTCTCTGTTACACACTGTCCACTCTCAGCCCTGAGCAAGATGAATTGCTGCTATTCTTTGCCTGCCCCTGGGGTTCTCTGCAGAAGGTCCCAGTAATAGATACTCAGCACTAGACTAACAGAACAGGTCACTACACGGGTGGAGATTCACTCTACAAAAGAAGACTCTGTTTTACGAAGGGGATTCACTACAGGGACTTAGAAAGCAGTCTCTTCTCTGCTTTTAAAATAAGAGTTCCTCCATTTATCAAGATTTCACACACACACACACACACACACACACACACACACACACACTCTCTTCAGGGGCAGGCCAGTTGTATAAAGTGAGGCTTGCCTGCATAGCTAATCCTATTAAAGACAACTTCCCAAAGCACAGCGTGCTTGTTTCATATTGGGCTCCCTGTGGGGCTTTCGCTCACTACGAGTAAAGCTTGGTCTCTCAAAGACCTGTGCCTGTTACATCAGATGCCCACAGGGCCTGGGCAGTTGCTGTGGTGACAGGCAGAGCTAATCTTCAGAGAGCTCAGACTCTCTAATGATGCTGATGGAGCAAAGGCTGAGTCAGAAACACACTTAAGAGAAAAAAGATTATCCCCTGCAAAATGTCAGAAGCTCCTGTTATATGAAAGAGCAGGCAAGTAAGCTTAAGAAAGACAAAGAGAAAGAGAAAAAGAAAAAGAGAAACACGGGCAAGATCAAGAAACAGATTGCTGCTTTTCCAGTGGGTTCTTAACTGTGGGAACTTAGTGAAATTGGTTATTGATTCTTAGACTCGTAGAACCTGAGGATTTTAGAGTTGATGGGATTCCCAAATTTACCTAGTCTGGCTAGTCAATTCTAACTTTCCTTTTTCTGACAAGTGACTGTCAAGCCTAACAACCAAATCTCTTTCTTCTACAGCACACCTTCTAAGCAGGGACAGGAGCTCATTTTCCACACCATCTTGGTCAACTCTCATAGAATTTTCCTTGCTTCAAGCTCAACTCTGCCTCCTGGAAATTCTTCTTCTTCCCACCCTATTGGTACCAGCTCTGCTGTTAGAGACTTCACAGTCTCTGCTCCCTCTGCCCTGTGACACCCTCAGACTACTTGAGAACAGGAATCATGACTCCTGGGATTTGCCTTTTCTCTAGGTCAAATACCTCTATAATTCCACCTGCTGTTCTCCATAGGGTCTTCTCTCCATCCTGCCCCTTTCCTCCAATCTATCTTTTAATTGTTCCTGAGCAGTCTAACTGAGAAGTATGATTCAAAGAAAAATAAATCTAAGGTATCATGACCCTGAAAAAATTGAGAAAATTAAACTCAGAGGTCCTGATCCCAACCCCATTCTCCTGGGAGTGAAACCTTAGCTTTTACCAGAGAGCATGGGAAACCACTTCTGGTGGAAGCCCCTTAATTAAACACCTGAGGAAAAAAAGAAAAGAAACTCAGAGACCAGAATGGATTGTCTCATTATTCTAGCTTGCTTGGCCACAGGGACATATTTGGTTTTGGCTGAAATAATGACGTGGAACTGGCAATGATTCCAGAAAATCTTTCTTCTTAATCATGGCCTGAATCCTCAGCTACCTCAAAAATCAGTGGCAGGGGAAGTCTCTCCCCACTTTTCTCTTCGTTTCAGATGAGGCTCATTGGCTTAGAAAAGTACATTAACTAGCAATCAGTCCAATGACTAAAAAGGACCATCCAGGTTGGCTGTGGCTCACACCTGTAATCCCAGCACTTTGGAAAGCCAAGGCAGGAGGATCATTTGAGGCCAGGAGTTCGAGCCCAGCCTGGTCACTATGGTGAAATTCCATCCCTACAAAAAAAAAAATTAGCCAGATGTGGTACACGCCTGTAGTCCCAGCTACTTGGGAGGCCGAAGCAGGAGGATTGCTTGAGTCCAGGAGTTTGAGGTTGCAGTGAGCTGTAATCATGTCACTGCATTCCAGTCTGTCTTCCTCTATCTCTCTCTTTTTTAAAGAACCATCCAGAGTCAGCTCTACAAAAGATGTTGCTTTCTTTGATGCCATGCTGAGAACAGAGTTTTGGGTTTGGAGACCTGGACCCTGTCATTAAATCGACTGTGACTGGGCCAGTTACTCCCCATCTTTGAGTCTTGATTTCCTACTTATAAAATGAGAGAGCTTATTTGGATGATCTTTAAGGTCCCTTTTGGCACTAATAACTCGGCAACTCTTTTTTTCCACCCTCACCATTTCAGTTGATCCACCAAACAAACCTGAGCGATCAGAATTAGCATCCCAGTGTTATCCTGGCTGACACTGATGTCTTGCTTACTCTGTGCTAGAAATTGTTCCAAGCATTTTACATGTATCAACTCATTTATCTTCCCAGCATCTTGTGAGGGAGGCACTAAATTGAGCCTCATTTAAAGACGAGGAAACAAAGGTACAAAGTGGTTCTAGCCTGACCTCTAAGGTCACACCATAAGTAAATGGTAAAGCTGGAGTTCAAATCCCGGCAGTGGGCTCCAAGGTCTGTGCTCTTAACCACATTCTGGGATGCATCTTTTATAGACAAACTACAATCCAGAGAGGTTACGGGACTTGGATCACATACCAAGAGTGTTAAAGACCATTAGGATTCAATTCCAGGGCCATCAGATTCCAGGTCCACTGGAGAAAAGACTTAAATCTCTAATCTGTTAACAAATTGCTCAACTACTCAGACTAATCTGAGGTGATGGATGTCTAATACTCAGGAAAGGCAAGTTAGTCTCTGAGGCAACCAGATCCCATGGGCCTAGGTAGAAAAGCCCAGTGCTGGCTCTCCCTGTATCTGCCTCTGCCAGGCAACACTTAACAGGCTCCCAAGCAGCGGGAGGTTCGATGCTTCACTTTGAACAGCCTCCATGCTCCAGCAATGGGGCATTTGTGAAGAGTGACTTGATTCACTTTTCTGACCATGAGTAGAATATAGTTGCTTCACAGGGCATTGGTTCTGGGTGTGACACTGTGTCATGGATAATTACTATTTTTTTCTGATCATTAACACTCATCTAGTACTAAGATTTCAGACCAAGGTCCTCATGACCCCTGGATATTTTATTATCTATATCCAATAATCTTTTCTCTCCTACTGAATATCCAGGCAAAGATAAAATATTTTTCCTTAAAACTGTCAAATTCTGTAAAATTCAGGAGCCAGTTCAAGGGAACAAACATATTCACAGTAGATGGAATCAAGAGTTAAATGTTATAGTGGCAAGCTCTTCTACTGGGCAACAGACAACCAGACCTGCTTGTGAGATGGCAGCTCCCCAGCCTTGTCTGCGACCTCAATTCTGTTGAATGAAAGGCAGCAGCTCAGCTGATTGCAGCATAGTGTTCATCAATCACGGTAATAGCGCAATTAGCCACCAAGGTTCAAGCCGCATAATATGTGTTAGTGGCAACTTGTCTTGGATTCAATCTTCCTAAACAATCCAAATAAAAGATTTTAAAACTCTTGACTTCTGGCTGGGCATGGAGGCTCATGTGTGTAATCCAAGCACTTTGGGAGGCTAAGGCTGGTGAATCACCTGAGGTAAGGAGTTCAAGACCAGCCTGGCCAACATGGTGAAACCCCATCTCTACTAAAAATAAAAAAATTAGCCAGGCATGGTGGAGGGCCCCTATAATCTCAACTACTGGGAGGCTGGTGCAGGAGAATCACTTGAACTTGGGAGGCGAAGGTTGCAGTGAGCCAAGATTGTGCGATTGCACTTCAGCCTGGGTAACAGAGCAAGACTGTCTCAAAAAGAAAAAGAAAAAAAAAAACCTCTTGACTTCCAAAGAGGCAAAAGTAGACCAAAAGTACAATACAGTATTGTGGTTGTTTACAGAATCGGCTTGAAGCGCATGTGTATCTGTAAATATAAAGTGATTAGTGACTTATTGTGTTCTCAGTCTGTAGCATCATTAACTTCTAGGAGCAGCAGTGGGGTAGAGTGTACTGAATGGTCATAGACTCATTGATTAGTAGATCTGGAAAGGAGCTTAGAGAAGATTTGTTTCAGGCTCCTATTTTATGGAAGGGAAGGCTGACATCCAGGGAGATGAAGGAAATCTCCTAATTACTCTGAGAGTACCTCATTGATGGAGCCAGGACTAGGTCCTGGACCACCTCTAAGAAGACACAGCTATTTGAGTATCAACTAGGGCCTAGCATTATTAAGCAATAGATAAGTATAGATGAAAAGAAATGATCCCTGCCTGCAAGGTCCTTATGATCTAATGGAGGTGCTATCTCTAAAATATTATTATCCCAGTTTGGCAGTCAAGGAAATAGCCCTGGAAAAGTTAACATGCTCAGGTCACCCACTAGTATCATTTGAACCCTCCTCTGACTCATGCTCTTTCAAATTTTTTTCTTCAGATTGTCTTAGAAGGGTAGATGGGGTATACCCTCTGGTAGTACCAGACTCCCAAGGATTCTTAGACTTGAATAACCTCAGTTAAATAAATAACCACAAGTGCTTGGTGACTGAAGCCTTATAACATCCACAGAATGATAAGACCACCCTCCAGACCTAACTCCCCAACTCATATCACCTGCTCCTGCCTACCACTAAGCTCCTCACTTGGATATTGAGTTTCCTGGAGTGTCCTGAGGAATGTTTGACTTTGTTTGCCAACAGTTTGGGGTAAGGGGAAGGAACTACAATAATCAATGTCCTGGGATCTCATTGATTTCAGATTCCCTCTCCCAAGCATACACCCAATTTCCTGCCACAGCTGGGGAATCAAGTAGCATCCTGTGGCTGGAAGTACATGGAAAAGACTAGTTTATGAGATATAAATACTGTTAAATGATGATTTTTAAAGGCCCTGATCCCTTATATGAAGTAGGCAAAATTCAAATTTATTTATTCATTTATTTTCTCAACAAATGAGTATCTAGTATGTGCCAGGATACAAGTAGTGGCAAATTAGGCACAGTTTTTGCTTTCATGAACCGTATAGCTTCATGATGTAGTTTAAACATTGTCAAATCATCACCTAAATATAACTGCAAAGTACTCTAACAGGAAGGCACAGGATGCTATGAGAACACTCAACTGGGAAACCTGAATCACCTTTGAGGAACTGTTTCAGGGGCTCTCGGAAGATTCTACTGCTCCCAAATACCTCTGCTACCCACTGGCCATTGCTCTATAATCCTCAATTAAGCTTTCATCTTTTAGTGCAAACGTTTGATGCTGATCAAATACAAATCCCCCAAGAAGAGTGAGGATAGGAGAAAAATATCTGTACCTGTGAAACATTTTTAGACTGCCCGGCTAGCAGTTCATTGTTGTTCTCTGAAGAACATAACCAGCCACTCCAAAGCTTATAGGCTTAAAACAACAAACATGTATCATTTCTTATGATTCTGTGGGTTGGCTGGGTGGTTCTTCTGACTGAAGCAGGATGGTCTAGGATAGCTACATCCACATGTCTGAGGTCCCAGCTGAGATGACTGGGGCTGTTGAGACCTTTCTCCATGTGGTGCCATCCTCCAGAAGGCTGCCTAGATTTGTCCATATGGTGGCAGGAGTTTTTCTCAAAGCAAGAGAGGGCAAGATCCAAAACAGAAGCACTTTTCAAGATCTGTTTCCATTGCAATTGCGAATCTCTCACTGATGAACACAAGTTCCATGGCCAAGCGCAGTTTTAAGAAATAGAGAAATAGGGCCGGGCATGGTGGCTCACACGTGTAATCCCAGCACTTTGGGAGGCCGAAGCATGTGGATTACTTGAGATCAGGAGTTTCAGACCAGCCTGGCCAACATGGTGAAACCCCATCTTTACTAAAACTACAAAAATTAGCTGGGTGTGGTGGCACATGCCTGTAATCCCAGCTACTCAGGAGGCTGAGGCAAGAGAATTGCTTGAAACCAGGAGGTGGAGGTTGCAGTCGCCCAAATTGCACCACTCCAGTCCAGCCTGGGCAATGGAGCCAGACTCCGTCTCTAAAAAAAAAAGAAAACAGTTGCCATCTCTTGATGGGAGGAGCTATAAAATACAGTGGCCAACTTTTCAATCTACCATGAAAAGAACCCTCAGTCCTCTGAAACTCTGGTAGATGTCTTAGGATCTTAAAAAATGGCTCTGATGATATCACCAAAGACAAGTGCCAAAATTATTTAGGGCAGGGTAGTCTTAACATTGGTTTAGTTCTTATCATTTGTTTAGTAGTTATCCAAAGGATTTACTTTGGAGGAATCAAGACACATCTAGATGAAGAAGTTTTGTGCTTGTTAAACAGTCCGTTTGGTTACTTCTTAGCTATCCCCGAGGGACAAATCTGGCTTCTCGTTGCACAGGATTCACCATAGATAATGGTTGTAATTCCTACCTGAAGTTCCTGGCCAGAAGCCCAGCAGAAAGATTCAGTATATGCAAAAAAGATGGCTCCAAGAACAGTTACACCTTCTGTTCTAACTGTATTTCCTTCCTTCCCTAACGTACTTGTCTAGTCCCAAGGCTTTAGATGCCAAGTCTTTGATAATAACATGTATACCTAAGTCCCTGCTGGACATTTTCATGTCTCAAACTTAACATGTCCAAATTGAAACTCTTGATTCTGCCCCAAACTTGTTTGAACTCCAGTCTTCACAGAAAATAAGGTGCCATCCTTAATTCTTTGATTTTTCTTTTTTCAGCCTCCTCGTCTAATCTAGCGGCAGGTCCTGGGGTTTTACTTCTAACTGTATCTCAAATCTCATCACTTTTCTCCATTTTCATTGACATGACCTTGGTCCAGGCCACCATTGTTTTCTCCCCTAGAGAGCTATCATAGAGTTCCTAACGTCTAACATTTCCCTACTCACATAATTACTCCCCTCTATTCCATTCTCCACACAGGAGCAATGTTTTATATGTATATGGTAGAGACAGGGTTTTGCTGTGTTGCCCAAGCTGGTCTCAAATTCTGGCCTCAAGCAATCCTCTTGCCTTGGCCCCCTGAGTCACTGGAATTGTAGATATGAGCCACCATGTCCAGTCTCAATGGCAATCTCTTAAAAATCTTAATAAATGAATAGCTCAGTAATACTGAGCTTTACTTCAGTACCACACATGAAAACAATCCAAGCCTTGGCAAGATGATGAAACCCTGTCTCTACAAAAAATTAGCTGGGCATGGTGCCCTGCACCTGTAGTCCCAGCTACTTGGGAGGCTGAGGTGGTAGGATTGCTTGAGTCCTGGAGGTCAAGAATACAGTGAACCATGATTGTACCACCATGCCACTCCAGCCTGGGTGACAGAGCAAGACCCTGTCCCCCCTCTCAAAAAGAAAAAAAAAAGGAAAGAAACAGAGAATTCAGAGACTTGCATTATTTTTAATACTATAATAATAATATTGATTCTGTTTTTAGCCCTGAATCTGCTCCTAACTTACTATAGGATCTCGGGTAAATCATTTCCTATAATAATTAGCTATCACCTCCTCCTTGTTTCTTCTTTTGTAGTACTACTACTCCCTCACACAAACCACATGATTCTAGTGAAGACTGTCAATAAAGGGAGCATGTGATCAAGCAGGGCCCATCAGAATCCTTCCCTAAGATTTTTATTAAAAAGTGGGACCTATTTTTTTTCCATTCGAGTGGCAAATATGTGAAGATATGAGGTCTAAAACTGTGATGGCTTATCCTCAACTCCTGTGTAAATTCTGGTCTCTAGTAAGAGAAAACAAGGCCATTAGGCAGAGGGAAGCAGAGACACAAGGTGAGAAAGAGTGTGGCCTATTGTTTTCCAGACCCTGATTCTTATTTCTTGATGTTTGGCTGATCACCTCTTCCTTTGATTCTGTTAGAAAGCTCAGCGTATCTTTCTAATAAAACCCCCATTTGCTTTGCTTGTTGGAGTTAGGGTCTTATAACTTGCAACCAAAAATATATGGTCTCAAAAAATATATATATATATGGTCTCCTCTTTGATTCTCAGTTTTCTCATTTATATATCCTAGCTCCAAAGTATAGAAATTCTAATTTTAAAAAAGCTGAGTCTTTTAGAAAATACCACTAATATGGACTTTTAATCAAGACCGTATAATTATGGAAAAGAAGCCTACCCTCATCTCAATCCTCTCTTCTTGTACCTAAAAGCATGAAGAAGAGGGATTTCTCAAGGTGAGAAGCAGTTCTCCATGAACACTGATGACAGCACAGACAAAGGTTCCTATGACTAGGGATCACTGGTCCGCACAGAGTCTGACCTCCCAGGTATCCGGCAGGTAGACAAAACAGCTAACTCCTCTGCTATTCCTTTCTCCACATTTGTTCCTATTTCTTAGTCATCTCAGTGACATCTGCCATCTTGAGAGTCAACTACTGGCTGGACTGAGCTGTGTGATATATGCTTCTGTTTACTTTCTTCCTTTACTTTTAAGTGGCCAAGTGGCAAATGCTTAAATAGGAAATCTCTGGGAGACTTGAATAAAAGACTGATTGGTAGAAAATCATGTCACAGAAATGCTAATGGACA